CCTACATGACATAATACATGTAGGACGCCACGTAGAAAACAAAATTTGTCATGTAGGATGATTGTGTATATTTATTTAATTTTATACAAGTTTAAATACCTACTTGTGCACATCCAAAATTATTAATAGTTATAATTGTCAACTAACGTCAAGTTAAGAGTCATATATATGTATTATGTCTTTAAATAAAATTATAGATGATTATGTGAATAATAGTAATAGGGTAAAAAGTACTCTAGGGTATGGCTTAGTGCATGGTGAATGAAATGGTTGAGAATCATTCACATCAGTGCTAGCCTTGATTGGGAAAAAAAGTCACCTGGTACCTGTTTCTGATAAGCTAATTTGGACACCACACTAAAAAAAGTATTCCCTCCGTCCATTTTTAGTTGTCACGTTGCGCTTTTCGAAAGTCAATTTGACTAGTTTTTAAAATTAAATTAGATTACATTAATTCAATGTTTAAAATCAAAAAATTAGATATTCAAAAACTATATGAGAATCAACATAAATTACATTCTTTTTCATATCAATATAATGAAAAAATACATCCTAAAATGTTTGTAAGAATTTTTATAGTTTGAATCTAAAAATGGAAACCATAACAACCGATAAAGTATTTTAGACTTAATTTGTTACTAAATATAGAGATATGACATTCTTGAGACTGATTTTAAAAAATGAGTAATAACTTCGGACAGAAGAAATACATATATTGAGGGTCTATTAAAAATATCTTTTTTTACCTGTTGAGGAAAAGATAAAGTATGCGTATACTAAACTAATTTTTTTCGGACCTCAATTATGAATCACAAATGGGCATGTTGTTATTATGGTTGTAATAATATATATGTATATTGCCTTTCAATGATATAGTAATGTTTAAACTAAGACTTTTGCCTAATTGCACCAACTTTCCATTCTATCATTAAATAGCTAAAAAAATTCAACATATAGTATCTAAAAGAGTGTTTGATTTGTATTTGAAGAGTATTGTATTGAAAGAGACTTAGAAATTGATTGAACGAGACGGAGACGTTGAATGGACTATACCCCCTCTCGCTTCTCAATTTATCGATGAACGTGTGCGATATAAAATTTTGAAATAATTTATACTTATATATATATAAAAGTGTATTAATAAGAATTGCGGTGATATAATTGAGATTTCTTTACTCTTAACAAGAAGTCTCGAGATTAAATCTCTAAAAATAAAAATTTCATATTGAGAGTATCACCCTAAAAGATTCCTGTAAAGTGTGAATTCAAATTCGCAGATCGCAATACAAATATCATATACCATACAAACTAAAAACATTTTAATTATTTTTCAAACATAAAAATGAAAATAAACCATTCTTTTATTGAACAAACTAAAAAATATGAATGAGATTAGTATATATAGTAGCATCATTATTGGTAAGAGAGTAGACCCCTTTGTTAATTAATGTAAGCTTTATCTATTAACAATGACATGCATGATTGACTCATTGATTACTTATTCCTAACAAACATGCATGATATATCTTGCCCCTAAAAAGTTTACAATTTTTAATTTCTTTCTTTTATGTATAGGTAGCTTTTCTTACATTTCATTGTCATTCAACCTTAACTACTTTTCTAACAATGCAGAAACTACTTTTCCTCTCCTACAATTGAGCTTCTTTTTTCTTGTTCAGTAGATTTTTGATGTTCGATTGATTTGAATTTTGGTCGAAAAATCTCATTTGAGAGTCAAATATTTTCTATCAAAGACGATATCTTTAAGTTAAGAATGAAAGCATGTTTATCTCAACTTTAGTGGCCCAACAACTAGGTAAAGATGAAAGAAAGTCACATAGGTGAGAGGCGTAATTACGATTATAATTTTTATTTACATCATAGATTCAATGTTTGATATTCGCTTTCTTGATCTATCTAATTCTTATTTGCGACGAAATAATTTTATACTGAGATATATAAAGTGTTTGTTACCAAATTAAAAGCGACTCTTTCTCAAACTCAAACTTGATTGACCTCTCTTAATTAAAGAGTAAGATTATAATAACGTCGTACATGTATATATTCACTTTAGTTTATAACTTTTTTGACCTATTTATCAAATTGATTTCAATCTTACTTTCTTCAACAAAAGAATAATGAGTAAGGACAAGATTAGATTTGCCAACTATATCCTATTGGCTATTATTAAACTTGATTAATACTCTATTTCATAAATAGTATATATTATAAAATAATCTCTCAGTTTGATTAAAGATCTTGCTTTAGCTCACTTTTTCAACTCCCTCAATAAAATTATTATTGATAGACAACTTGGTAAATTTATTAGTGATCTTTTTTTGACTTCTTTGCATTAGATTGGCTTATTCTAATAATAATAATGATATATATATATATATATATATATATATATATATATTTAAAAAACTAAATTATTTTCGTTCAATAGATAATTAATTGCATTTGCAAACTTTTGATTTTTTTTCTTATTACTTCTTCAAGACGCCAAAAAAGAAAAAAGAAAAATATGTGGCAGCTTTTATTATGGAAAGACAAGTCTGCATTGACCAATTGATGATCAATTAATATACCATACTATGATTTTATATGAATTTATATTTTATGAGGGAAAAATATAAAAAGAAAAATAAGTAGGAAAAATATATAATGGTTTTCGGTTTGTCATTATCTTGATTATTCCTCAATGATTTAATTTCTGAAATGGGATTTTGGTCAACACACTACCTATATAATAATATAAAGAAAAACACATCAAATATATGTGGTCGAGTATGGAGTTTTCATTATTCCATATTTTGTTTTGTTAAAAATATTTTTAACAAAAAATTAGAAAAATAATCTTTTAGTTAAAACTGAGAACAAAAAATTTGTAAGTAACATATCAAGTTGATTATCTCCCCATGACTCATTATCACTTGTCTGACCTTCATTATTATAGTGTTTATCTATATCGTATATAAATATGTTTAGACAATACTTTTTATTTATTTATCAAATATAAAAAAAATATCGCTTATAAGCATTTTCCTTTATAATTAAATTTTTTGATCCTATGAGGAAAACCTACTCTAGTGTGAGCTTCGATAATTTAACTAGAGTTTCTTGAAAATTCTTTAGTTATTGGAGATAAAATACAGTCGATTTGGCTTTATCAGATTTTGAGTATATTCTAGTTTTCCTAGTATTATTTATTTTTATTTTTGGTTAAAAATATTCCTAGTAGTTATATCATATATGTACGTAGGATAATTCTGTTGTGAGTTCACGAGGAGGCAAGAGAAAAGGCATTGGGGTCCATTATATTCCAAAATAATTCAGGACCTATATAGGTTGGTATTACTATATAGGAATTCGGAGCCTAAAGGTATAAAATATTAATAAAAATTTTAAAATGATATATAAAATATTATATTAACTCAAATGGTAAAATCGCTGAAATAATAGCGATTTCATTTTTTTAAGAAATCGCTTTCAATTTTTTTTAAATAATATGATCCTATATGCATGATAGCAAATTAAGAGATCAAATAAATCAAGGTGAAGCAGGCTAGCTACGATTTTTGTCAAACTTTATTCTTTAAATGAATAGAATGCAAATTGTATTAGGCAAATTGATATTGGAAATTTTTGAAGGGTGTATGAAAGAAGTATATTGTCTAAAAAGAGAAGATCTTTTTTATTTTCATAGATATTTACTAAGTAAATAAAAAATATTCTTTTGTGGAGGGCATAAATTCTGATACTTATCATCAAACCTGTTTAGAACAGCACATATTCTTACTAAAAAAGGAGCCTTTAGCTAAATCAAAACCAATAATTGAAGTTAATGCGTTTCCATCAATTTCAAATTAAAAAAATAAAAAAAAAATCATAAGTGCCCCGAGAAATTGTACTCTAGTCAAGGAGAGAAACAAAGCTTAACTAGGTTCAACTTTTTGCTGCAGGACCAAGAGCATACTTGAATATTAGGTTTCAAACACATAATTTTTATATATTTAATAGATTTCTTAATATAGATACTTTATTTGCATAAATAGATATTTAAATTCTCGAAATATCCAAAACCCTAAATAAACGAAAGAACAAAACTAAAAGCCTATGGGAAATGCCTAGAGTATATATTTGTTCTGGTGTGTAGATTCAGAAAGTACACGCAGCATATTGAAGAGGAAAATTCTACTCACAAGTCACAACTTCCAGGAAGCTGCAAAGGAGTGACGGGGTATGGCTGATGGGGACGCATGAGCAGAGTCGTCACAATAAACATAGCTCTCTATGGCCCATATGTCTCCAATTCAACTTATATTCAGAAATAATTTAACTATAAACTTCTCATTTTATCCGTAATGACATAATTTTACGGCCATAGAAGGGTAGGTAGTACTTCTCTTCTAAGTCACCAACTCAAGCTGACCAAACAAGTGTCAACATGCAACTGGGTTTTAGATTATAAATTGAACGTGACAAACCAATATGCCAGACCTGATTATTAGTTTCAAATTCACACACAAATCACTATGGGGACCTCATGCTCACGGGTAGGCGGAAGGCATATGCCCATATTACAATCACACTCAAATTCAGGATATTTCTCTCTTGTTTAATCAAAACAAGATATCCCTTTCAGCTAACCAATATGCCAGCCCTATTTTTTAATCATCTTTTTACCCCTCTTGGTAAAAGCACCCACCTTTTTTGCTTCTTGATAACTCGAACTCACAACCTTTTAGTTGGAAGTGAAAGTATAAAACTCCCTCAATGACCCATGTTTTTGGCGTGCTGTTTGAGTTTGACTTTACTGGTCGCAAATTTCCCATTTCTATTTAGGACCCTCCTCCCTTTCCACATTGGTTAGAAAATTTCATTCTTACAATATTTTTATTTTTATCATTAATAAAGAGAGTAAAAACACAGAAGTCGATAACATATTTTACATAATCCGAAATGATATTTACTAGGCAGCTAATATATACATATAGTAGATACAAAATTGGATCATCTATTAACCTTCACAATAGACAATGATAGCTGTAACAAACTACATAGGGCGGTAGAGAGGAGGGCGATAGAAAAGGCGGGGAAGAAAGCCAAACATATCATGATAACAAAACACTGACAACAGGCAACAAAGATAACCCTGAGAGATCACAAAATCACTGCCAACAAAAGGAATAGACAAAAAGGAAAGATGAACATACCAAAATGAGGCGAAGACAAATTTATCAACCAAGGGTTTCAAGATTGGTCCTTCCCCATAGCTTTTAGCCTAGTGGGCAACCACCACAAATTACTATTGCCTGCGCACTGGAGGACGTTCACCACTCCATTGTCCTTCCCCAGCTTGTGCCTATGCCACTCTTCTCTTTGCAAAGAGCATGTGCAACATACACTTGCCTACCATTGATGAGCACACCATTTGACTTATCTATGGCAACTTTGAGCGGATTCATCATTGTCAAATTGTAAAAACCATAACCCTTCGACTGGCCATTAGAATCAGTAACTATCTTGCAAGAACAAATGTAGCCAAAGTTTGAAAAGGTGTCATGTAAAGCTTCGATTTCAATTGACTTGTCCAAATTCCTGATAAATAGATTAGCTCTTCTATTCTTAGGAGAATTAGGATCCCTATGAGAGCGCTTCACCCTAATGGACTTTCCATTAACAGGAGTGAAATCTAACATCTCCATTGCCCTTGCAGCATCCTGAGGGTTGCTGTAGTTGATGAAGCCATAGCCAAGGGATCTCCGAGTGCTAAAGTCCCTACAAATCCTAACTGATATAACCTGACCCGCTTGGTTAAGCAGCTGGTGCAGTTGTGTATGTGTCACGTTGATGTCCAAGTCTCCTATGTACAGAGACGTAGGCTTGAACTGGTTTGCAACACCACCTGGGACAGCTGTGGTGGCAGTGCCACCAGTAGCTGCGGCTGCTGCCACACCAATTCCTCTCGTCACTGGACTCCGATGCTGCCCCTGAATCTGCACATAAGTATCCTCAGAACCTTCTAGAACAACAAAGTTTAGACTTCCAAAAATGATACCTTTTCTTTTTTTGAATTTTAGTTCCATCTCCTGTTGTTATTGATACGAAATAAGGAAAAACTCTGGAAGAGTAAATTGAAGGAGAGGAAAGGTAAAATGGAGATAGAAATCACCAGTGAATAGAGCTGAAAGATAAAGAAGAGGACCCTTTTCAATTTTTAGGGTAGAGGAATCTGAACGGCAAGGAAAATAGTTGTAGAAGCAGGGAAAACAAATGTCACCTTCTTTTCAGGCTTCTCCTCCTCTTCTCTTTTCCCATCATAATCCTAGGCATATTCATCATCGTCATCGTCATCGTCATCTTCTTCCTCGTCATCGTCTTCATTATCATCATCATCTTCAATATTGTCAAGCTTCTTCACATGTCTAGGAATATCACATTCCATATACATATCTGTATCCTCGTACGATCCAATACCATCCACCATAAACCTACATGCATACTCATATGCTTCCATATCAAATTGCATATATATAGAGTCGTCCTCTTCAGCTTCACCAGTAAACCACAATACTGCGTGCTAGGGATTATTTTGTCCCGAATTATTGAGCTGCCAATAGAAGCAGAAAATATAACAATCACATTTACTCCTCTAATTCAATCAACAGAAACTTATGATGCATAGAACAAAAAGCGGAATTTGCCAGGAAAAAGATCTAAATAAAAGTGAATAACACAAAAGGCACCATCCAAGCAAAGAAGAAATCATCTACAGACCCAATTTCATAATCTTCATAATCTGCTTGCATATACGGGAGTTCTGTGACCTGTCAAAAAATCCATTTGGCTTAGTTATGACTTCAGATGAAATGTTAGTACATTTAATAGTAATTGAATGAAGTCGAAGTTTAGGTACCGGTGGCTGTTTGAAAAAACTTTGACAATCCACAGTTCTGATCATTGGTTTAGCAGTTATTAATCTCTTATTTGGATTGCATTCTACAATCTTCTTTGTCAAGCATTCTCCTGGAAACCATTCAATATCCGTCCTGCAACACGTCCCACTCATCAAACAAACCAACACAAAAAGGATCATAAAGATATCAAACCAAAATTATAAGACAGCAGAATTTACCATGTTACGTCTTTTGCCATAGCCATATTTACCCTTTTGTGACAGGTCTTTGTCAATACAGAATTCTTGAAAAAGGGGTTTGTATCAAAGAAGAAATCAAGCTTAATACCCTTTGGATGATCGACCCTGCACCACTTAATATCCTAGAGGAATTTTAAAGCTTCTACATCCTGCTTTGAGATGTAGATCTACAACAGAGTGATTTGCAGTAAGTTCAATCATCAATATATGGAGTACTGCAAGAAACAATGGTAACTATAATTATTTACCTCCTCTTCACGTTTCGCATAGGACTTCAATGCAGTCAACCAGAAGTTTGGAACACCTTTCTCTGTACTAAAAGTTCACAACAACAAGATTAAAGCACGTCTGCAATTTATTCTACATGAATGTTAGATAGAGCATGTCACAGTTTACCATCTCCTGTCTCCATATTATCACCTTTGACTTCAACAACACCATTTACTATTTCATATCTCTGTAGAGAAACCCGAAAATGATTAACCAGGATGGATATCCAAAGAAATTTGAGTCATAACAGCTGCAAGGTTACTAACACAGGTTGAGTTATCCTTTTTACCTTCATGTGCAACGATTCATGCAGCTTCTCATATTTAGCTTCAAGTACAGTCTTCTCCTTCAAAAATAAAGCTTGAAGCGTGTCACGTTCACTCTACAAACAGAAAGTTCTTTTAATCTCTCTTTCTTCCTTTAGCAAAAGCAGTGGAGTGTACACAATATTGGATGATCTAATACAGGCAACAGAATGTGACATGAAAATCCATGGACCAAAAAGTTGGCATTGAAAATAAGGACCTAGTAAAGCAAATTAACCATTAGAATGAAAATTCACTCATGTAGAAACGCAGTCATGCAAATTAAATATCTTTTGCCGGTCCGAGGGAGATGGAGGAAAGAATGGTCTATAACAGTGTGCCTCCTCTAGAAATACTGTCACTATATACGGCTTCTTGTGGATTACCTGGTTAGAAAGGAATAAAAATTGTTTTGAAGAGATACTGCAACGCTTTTCTTTGTCAAAAACAGATGTCTACTAAACTTGCACGCTTGGTGCCATAGTCTATGATAGATACTATGGCTCAGCATATTAAATTTTGGAATTTCTCTAGTGATGACTCAACATCCAAAGAAGTTTTAGTCAAAATAGGTGCAAGGTACTAACTTCTAACTTCTACAAAATAGAAGTGTCTCTTTCCTTTCTCTTTCTTTATGTTTTTCAAAATTTTTGGGGCAGGATTGGGGAGTGGCTGGGCGAGCAGATATTGTTGTCAAGAAACATGAAGACGCAGAATAAGTTGAATTATCCTTTTCACCTTCGTGTGCAATGATTCATGCAGCTTCTCATAACCAGCTTTAAGTACAGCCTTCTCCTCCAACAATAAAGCTTTCAGCGCAGCAGGTTGACCCTACGAACCGAAAATTCTGTCAAGCTCCTTTATTTCCTTTTGCAAGAGCAGTTAAAATATACGTAATATATTGAATGATCAATCATAGGGCAGTAAAATGTGACACAAATACACCAAAAAAGTTAGATTGAAAAACTAATCATATCTGTGGGAATTTATTCATGTACAGATGTAATCCTGCAAATTAAACATCATTTATTGGGTCGGGGGAAGATAGGGAGGAAAGAATGGCCTAACGTGAGCCTCCTCCAGAAATACAGTCACTATATACAGTTTCGTCAACCTAACTTGTATGACAGATTGAACTCAAAGAGACGTATAAGCCAACATATATGATCAGCTTTCTTCTTTCCTCCCTGGTCCCCTCTTAGATTAGCGATTATAGTTTAATGTCTGCTTCAATACTAACTTCCAAAGGAGAAAACACAAAAGGCAGGAAATAGTAAACAAATTAACTATGACATACTTCATCCAACACATATACAGTAATAACTATGGCACTTCAATGTAGGGGTGTCAAATGTGTGGTCGGGTTGAATTTGGACGGGTAAAAGATATACTGGATTGATAAATGGGCAGGTTCTTAACCCTTCCAAAGGCTGAGATGAGTTGGATCAAGATGGAGTAAACAATGATCATTGCCCAACTCGCCCTACTTTTACCAAGTTTTAATTTATTTATTTTTGCTTGTTTCTTATACTAATTAGTTTATAAATAGTTATTGTATATCCTTCCACTACCACTAATATAACATCTTAACTCAGCACCGATCAAACAACATCACATTAAGTGAAATATATGAATAACAAACCTGAAGGTTTTTCAAAGCCTCCACGCGCTTCCTGACTTGTGGTGACAAACTCTTAAGTTTAAGTGAGGGACTCCCACTGAATTTCTGAAGGTTATCCTATACAAATCCAAAAAAAAAAAGTGAAATATTTCAACTAAAAATAGAATGAACCAGAACAAAACAACAAAAAAAATATATAAAAAAGAACCAACCTTCTGTTTAATCTCCAACCCAGCACGATATTCAGCATAGGAAGCTACTTAGAATTAAGACAAATAAGAATCACTTGGATCCAAAAGCCATGGACAAACACAACAATGTAAAAGTTATAAATGTATGTAAAGAGATGCATTCGCTGCCTGGATTTGGGAACTTACCGACAGCATCGGCGGTGAATGGGTAGAGATGGGACTGATATATGTCCAAAGTACTCATACTGAATGTGGAAGAAAAGGAAACCCTAAGTCCCAAAATTTATAAGCGGAGGAGGAAAGCGAGGGAAAAAGCAAAGCGAATTTCAAAAATATATGGAATGAGTGAGTGGGCCCATATAAACTAAGGAATTCAAGCTTTTTGAAGTTGTACCACGAGTTGTAGAGGTGGTACCCCGTACCTAGCCGTTGGGTTGCTGGGAAAAGATATATGAAGTTGCGGGACTTGAGGCATATTATATTTTTATTTCTTTCGTTTTAGTCCTCCTTAGTTGAGTTAACTAGTTCACCTATTAACTTTAAAAAAAATTATGCATACATCATATAATTCGTTAGGAACATTAAGGCCTTATTTCTTTTCATTAAAATTAGGATATTGGAATTTGAATATTAAGATTCAGATATTTTGATTTGAATACATATTTGAATATTAAAATTTGATCTCTAAATCTAAACACTAAATAATTAAAGTTATTTCTTTTCAATACCTGAATGTGCATGTGAAATTAAAATTAAATAATAAAATATCATAAAAATTTTATTTCAACAAAATATATCACTTTTGATTAAAAAAAGTTTTTAAAAGTTTTAATAATCATGATTTGGGGTATAATTTTTCCATTCTAAAACCTTGAAAAATACCAATACACTAACAATGTTTTTGACACAGTCAATACAAGAAAATTATTAATATAAAAAAACTTGAAAGAATTTATGAAAACTGGTGTTTGATTGAGAAAAGGGAGAAAGAAAGTTTTTAGTTATGAGATAAAAAAGCACGCTTAGAGTAGAGAAATGATGTTATTATTTGATAACTTATTAAATGAGTCTGAATATTGTTAAGAATCTCCTACAGATCTGATTCATTCAGACCTCTTCAGTCTGAATGAGTAATTGCTAACACTTTGTTTGGATCATTGTTACGCATTGTTTCATAATGTATTGTATTGTATTGTACTCTATTGTATAGAGATACAATGTTTGGTTAGATTGTATTGTTTGTTGTTGTTAATAACATTTTAATTGTTTGGATCATTGTTACGCATTGTTTCATAATGTATTGTAGTGTATTGTACTCTATTGTATAGAGATACAATGTTTGGTTAGATTGTATTGTTTGTTGTTGTTAATAACATTTTAATTGTTTGGATCATTGTTACGCATTGTTTCATAATGTATTGTAATGTATTGTACTCTATTGTATGGAGATACAATGTTTGGTTAGATTGTATTGTTTGTTGTTGTTAATAACATTTTAATTGTTTGGTTAGATTGTATCGTACTGTATTGTAATTTTCAAATTTACTTAAATATCCTTAATTATTTTAGGGTAGGAGGTTTGACTAGATTTAAATAATTATGGTAAAGGATAAAATAGTATTTTGAAATATTATGTAAAGATATAATTGAAAAAAAGAAATTAAGTTTCAATTGGAACACACCAATTTGGTTGTTCCATAATATAAGGTTTTCATTGTTACGTAACAACGAAATTTAACAATACAGTATAATACATTTTAAATAACAATCAAAATAAATATTATAGATATAGTAATGATACAATACAATATAATGGATAACAATGATCCAAACGTAGTGCAAGTTTTTATCTTAGAAATAAGAATCCACACTTAATGGACCTTCCATCTTCAGGAGAAAAAGCTACTGTTGCTCCTAGACAACTTAAACTAGTACCCACTAGTTAATTTTGATGCAAAAAATGTTTGGATAAAATGAAAAGTTGAACCACAATTTGAATATGTAGTTTTATCGTACTTTTAAACAAAATTATATTTGTAACAAATGTTCATCAAATTTTGAAAATATTTAAAACAGAAGCAACAAGTTGACTATTGAAGCATCGCTTGGTTCCTAAATCACAATTAGCTTGGGAATATATTTGGAAAAGTCGATACACCCAAGTGAGAAACATATGTATCTATAGAACTTGAAACTGAATTAAAGAAAGATGCTATGTAGCACATATATAGAAAAGTTGAATCATGTATAAACCTTTGCAATAAGCAATCATAGTTTGTATTGTATTAACCTAAACAGACGACTGCAGAGATGGGAGATAAAATCCAATGTTTCGTGGTAAGAAAAGCACACCACAGAACCAACAAACCACTAGAGATGACAAGAGTACTCACAAACAAAAATAAGCAGAAAAGGATGATGGCTAAGGCAAATCTATCGACCAAGGGTTCCGAGACTGCAGTTACTCATGAGCTTGTGACCTAGACCTAGTGTGCAACTACAAACTACTCTTGCTCTGCTATCTGTTGGACGTGCACCCCCTGCTGACCTTCCTCAGTTTGTGCTCCGTTACTCTTCTTTTCATACTTCTCTTCTTCATCATCATATTCCGTAACTTCATAGTCCTCGTCTTCACCAAGCTCACCAGTGAACAATGCTACTGCATGAGGGATTACTTTGACCCTGATTATTGAGCTGCGAAAGGAAGCAAAAAACACCACATGAGTTCACTCTTCTGATCAAAATATAGGCAACTTAAGCATAGAACAAAACGAGGAATTTGTGCAAACAAAGATCTAAATAGAAGTGAATAAATACTAAAGAAACCATCCAAGCAAAGAAGAAATAATCGACATACCCAATTTCATAATCGTGTTCCATTTGATACTGGAGTTGTTCAAGCTGTAAGGAATACATTCAGTTTAGTCATGACATAGGTAAGCACTTGTATAATCAACGGAAAATCAATAAAGTTTTCTAAGTTGTTGAACCTACAGAATTATCAAGAATATCAAAGCCAACATCAACTTCAGGTACTTGTGGCGGTTTGAAAAATTCGAAAAAACTTTCATAGTCCTCAACCTGGATTACGGGCTCAACATTTTCTAATCCGTTCTTTTGCATCTTCTTGAAACTCTTCTGTGTCAAGCATTTTCCTGGATACCATTCAATATCCGTCCTGCAAAGCATCCCACATCAAACAAACCAACAAAAATAGGACCATAAGTAATCACACCAAAATAATAACACAGCACTTACCCTATTGCTTTATCCAATACAGGTAGTTCATCATCAACCATGAGATAGGTCTTTGTCAATACAGAATTCTTGAAGAAGGGGTTTGTATCAAAAAAGAATTCAAGCTTAAAACCCTTTGCATCATTGACTCTGCACCACTTGATATCCTTGAGGAATTCTAAAGCTTCTTCGTCATACTCTGAGATCTAAAGCAGAGTGAGTTGCAGTTAGCTAAATGTATGAACTTTACTGCAAGAAACAATAATAGCTTTGGCTATTTACCTCCTCTGCCAATATCTCGTTATTCAGCATAGCATTCAGCCAGAAGTTTGGAACGCCTTTCTCTGTACCTAAAAATCACAAGGAGAAGATTAAAAGCCCTTCTGGAATTAATTTTACACCAGTTAAGAGAAAGTCTGTCAAAAGTTACCATCTCCTGTTCCTTGATTGTCTCCCTGTTCCAGGGGAGCCACATTGACACCTTCCACTTCAACAATGCCATTTACTATTTCATATCTCTGTGAAGATGCCACAAAATGATTAATCAAGCAGGGGATATATCGAGTCAAAAAAGCTGCAAAGTTATTATAACTTCTACTTTTTTTTAATTTTTTTTTTGTTCGTGTCTCTTCTCTCTTTTTCCTCTTCTTTGTTTTGGGGGAGGGGGAGGGGGAGGAGGGAGGAAGCTGATTTTTTTGTCAAGATACACGCAGATGTGGAACAAATTAAACAATCCTTTTCACCTTTGTGTACAGCGGTTCATACAGCTTCTGGTATTTAGTTTCAAGTGCAGCACTCTCCTCCAAAAACTTAGCTTGCAGTTCATCATGTTGACCCTATAAACAGAAAATTCTTAAAGCTCTCTTCTACCTCTTGTAAGGGCAATTAAGATCTAATATATGGTAAGATTCAATACGGTCAACATAATATATAAGGACCCAAAAATTTGAAAAGGAAACTTACAACAAGCAAATTAATCATTAGAATGAGAGTTTGTTCATATACAAACATAGTTTACAAACACCAGTTAAATATCATTTATTGGGATAGGTTGAGGGGGGAACCAAAGCATAGACCGATTGACATCAGTATGAGTCCTCCAGAAACCATAGGGAGCGAGTCTGTTTCTCAATGGCAACAACTTACACCAAGTGAAATGTCAAATAGAAATCAATAGGTGAATATTGTCTCTACAAATACGGTCACACTCATCATATCTGTGAAACTATTCTTCTACAAGCAAGCATAAGTACAAGGTCAAACACCAACAGAACATCAAGCATGTCTAAGCATAGAAACCTTCCCGACTGTCTGATACTAAAATAGACAGTTACAATCACCAGTTTGTGCAATGTCGTACTCAAGCCTTTCAAGACCTAAAAGATGGCCTATAAATACTCACTTTGTCTGATTTGAGATACTTTCTAGAGTCTTCCTTTTTAATTTCTTATGTCTGGTCACTGAAATCTCCTTTTTAATGTCTGAATGTTCTAATGTTGTTTCTCAAATCAATGCACTAACCAGGGTTCTTCTATTGGGAAAGATTCAAGGAGATATCCATGTATGTTAATGTCCTGAGCGAATATAAAAGGCTAACAGGAAGAATATCAGGGAGAAATATCGTATAATATTCTCGTTATTCACCCCTCAACCCAGAAGAAAGCTAACTGAGGCAACTGTTACTGCCTATTCCAGCATATAACATTCGATTTATACTTTGGATGTGTAACCAAAGCACAATACTTTGAACTGTCAACAACACTAATCATGGTTCACAAAATAGTTGCTTCAAACCTTGTGGCATCACTGTGCTACCTTTATTGGTGGGCGTAAGAAATTAACCAAGATAATCATCACCCAAGTATGCACACAAATCTAAATGAAACTTCAATATGAAGTTCACCTTCCTAGCGCCACATATATCACAAGGACCAGAATTATATACAGAAAATAAGAGAAGAGCAAGCCACTGCCTCACTGATCTTAAAGTGAACAATGGAAGACAAAATAAATATATATACGCACATTACGCACACACAAGCATATATGAAATAATAACAATGATGTGGAACAGAAACTAATTAGCACATATTAGGATTGAGAAAGAAAAGTCAAGCCAAATCAAAGCAATAAAAGAATTTTCCAAGGTAACACCAATGTAAGAAAATAAAGGAATCTTCCAAGGGAACTGCTGAAAATATTATCCCCTCCGTTTCAATTTATTGGATTAATCCAAAATATTTGACACGATTATGTAAGTACTATTCTTCTAGACAACTTTCAGGACTTCCATATTTTCAAATCAATGAACTAATCAAATTGTATCTTAAACTATTTCTCAACCACTACAGTATCTCCTTCCATTACTGCCACTAATTTAACAGAGAAGTCAAATTAACATCTCAACTACATGTCGATCAGTCACCATCATATAAAATGAAACAGTCAGACGGAGAAATATGAATAATAAACCTGCAACTCTCTCAAAGCATCAACGCGCTTCCTAACTTGTGGTGACAGTGTCGTAAGTATGTCTGCGTCCTCCATAGCCAAATTCTGGAGCTTATTCTACATATTTACAAGAGATATCAATTATAAAACGAAACTTGATACACAAGAAACGTATGATCGATCTTCGGCACTCAAAGCTACGGAAAATCAGGTACAACGAACAGGAAGGAAAAAAAACAGAGCGAGAGAGAACGAACCTTGAGTGCATTTACCAAAAGAGCACGATCTTCAGCGCTCAAAGCTACGTAAAATCAATACAATAAAGAAAAATAAGAATCAATTCGAACGAAAAGCAGTGGTATTGAATATATTCGTATGATCGGAAATTTACCGGCGGCAGCGGCTGGGAGGAGATCGGAATCCGAGCGATCTTTGATCGAAATGCTCATGTTGAATTCGTTACGAAAGAGTTGGAAGAAAATGTGATTGAAACAGAAAGAATTGTGAAGAACCGAAGAGAAAAGAGATTGAAGAGTCACAGTTATGGGATGAGTCGGTATTCTGTTTGAGCTGAGATTCGAGAAGTTATTTTCTTTCCTGTAGCTATTTATAGTATTTACTTGAATATCGAGATTTTATGATAGGGTTATTTAATTGGTTGGAATAAAATTAGGAATTAATTCTGTAGACTGAAATTTTATGAACTCTGCCCGGATATGTTTAATTTGAATTAGGACTCTAGAATGTGTGTTCTTTTTCAATTAGAATTGTTGGATACTCATTAATTGAAATTAAACACACATTATTATCTATTAATATTTAATTCGAATTTAATTTTAATGTATGTTCAATTTCAATTAGAATTGTTATTAAAATTTATGGCAAACAGATCTATAGTGAAGTTAGTTATTCTAATATTATTTATATCCACTTTAAGGGTGTAATAACAATTTTGTTTCCAACTAAATGAATCTGAATGGTATAATTGTAAAATTTACGGTAAGATTTATTTTATATCGTGGATGATTTATTTTCTTACCATGTATCGCTTCCTTTCACCAATAATGTTCTCATAATAATATTTTGTATCATCCATGTTGAGTCGCTAGCTTTTGATTTATTTTCTTATTGTGTGTCGCTTCCTTTCGTGATTCACCCACATATCTAGTTCTTCTCAAGTTTTTTTCTCCTCATACAATTATATTCTTAGTTAAGGTCAGCACTCATGGGAAGAATACATAAAATTATCCGTTTAGATGTTTTTAAATCAAAATAATTTTTTAAAGTAGTTTTGAAGTGTTTGAGTAAAGTTAAAAAGAACTTATAAGCATTTATTTTAAAGTTAAAATAACAAAAATAAGTCATAAGCCAAAAACCAATCCAAACAAGTCCTAACACTCTACCACACTTCATATTTCTAGGTACAATTTATTTGATTCAAAAGTATACATTATTTCAATTGAACAATTGAACCTAAAATGAAATATTTATATAAGTTAATTTCGAGCATGTGGTAAATTTTGCATAAGTAATCGCATAAATACATTTCGTTTTTCTAGCAGAGATGTACATCATATACTTATATGCAATCAGTCAATTTGATATTGACGTGAAGCTTTATAACTTTATTAAGTCCAATACATATAATTAAAGAATGTGAAATCCACTAACTAAAATGAATAGCTATTAGCACATTTTAAGTAATTAATCCATCTATATAATAAGCGTTTGAATACACGAACAATACACTTTATCATATTAGTTATAATTGGAGCGTTTATGGATGAAATTTATCCGTGTTTATACTAAATCAATACATATATATTGTGTTATCATAATCAATACGTATTAAAGAATGTGAAATCCACCAACTAAAATGAATAGCTATTAGCACATTTTAAGTAATTAATCCATCTATATAATAAGCGTTTGAATACACGAACAATACACTTTATCATATTAGTTATAATTGGAGCGTTTATGGATGAAATTTATCCGTGTTTATACTAAATCAATACATATATATTGTGTTATCATAATTAATCAATATTTATTTTATTTTATTAAATTACATAATAATAAAAATTATATTAATTGATATAAATAATCAATGTGAATAGCTTTTTTTTCTATTAATATATGCACGTCTAATGCTATTTAACTTTAGATTTGGTTAATACGGTAAATTTGACAGTTACATGCAAATTAACGTGTCGCCAATGACTGATTTTTTTAAAAAAACTGTTTTTTCTTCTTTTAAAATATTATTTATAAAAATTTAAATTGAACAATTAAAAATGAAACAGTAGGGGATTAGTTTTGAAGTAAAGGATGGAAATTGAAGGAACTGATGGGTCCAAAACCCTGCTGAAACCCGGTTCAACCCGAGAGTTCGGTAGAGGGTTGGGGTTCACCTCCGACGACCGAACCGTTTCTCGCCGGCAAATCTCGTTCCAAATCCGTAAGTCTCCAGACCAGGAAGATGAAACTAAGGTTAATTTTGAAGTTGTTGGAAGGAACCCTATTTGGGTATACAGTAATGGGGACGGTGAAGTTCGAACTTTTAGGAAGTGTGAAAGAGGCGAAATGGAGAATGGTGACATGTTCTGTCTTTCGGCTAACAAATCCATCTGGTTCACCTTGAAGAGAATCGATAATAGGGATGCCAAGAAAGAGTTGGAAATGGAGACTCAGTTGGCTGAAAGTCTTCAGAGTAGTTTATGCCCTGTAGGGATTGAATTAGACCTCAAGAATGTTGATATTTCGGGCATTGACCCTGTTCAAGGTTTGATTTTTTTCCCTATGCGTTACTTTGCATATGCTATTCCGATGCTCAATTGATTTTCCAGTTGCTTCAGTTTTACGGTGAATTGAACATGTTCAATCAATTCAATTAAGTAGTATCAATCCCAAGCTAACTGACTTTGTTATATGAATCATCTTGCCTCCATTTGGTTCCTTTAATTTAGTCAGAGGATTCAATGTATTTTGATTGTTTGACTTTCAAATTTTAGCGCTTTCGTAATGTATGGCCATAGATTTTGTAGTTTAAACTTGAAAATTTGAGTGGTTGAAGTTGTGATTTTTGGAACTTAAAAGTTGTGTTTAACATGCATTTTACTTGAAAGATTTTTGAAGTATTGTGCGTAAAAGTGGAATTTCTCGCTAAAGCCGCCCTGGCTCATGCCACTTTTTGAGAAATTGAACGTATTTGAAGATCCGGTTTTGAGAAATTTCATGAACAGACAGATTTTTGAAGATAAATTTTCAAAATTTGATCCAAATCTATGCCCAAACGTGAGATGTAGGAGTTGGAAATGGAGACCAGGTTGCTGAAAGCCTTCAGAGTAGTAGACATATTAGAGTTTGACTATCTCCTTATTTCTGGGTTGACTCTGTTCAGACTTTGCCTTATACGAAGTATCTGCAATTTTCTGCTCTTTTGATAGACTGTATTTACATTGTCCTTTTTTATGTTAGTTGAACTACTTTGTTATTGATTTAAGCTCGATATGACTCCTTGATTGTTTGAGATGATTCTCCTTCTAATAGAACTGGTCGTTTACTGATCGCAGAGTTTGGTTTTCTGGTGATGGGACATGAATTTGATGGTTATCCTAAGAGAATGATTCGAGAGATGAAGAACTGGAATTGGTTTATCGAGGATGAAGGAGCAGAGAGTGATACCGATGAGGGTTCTGATAGAAAGGGCTCTAGGAGAAAACGGAAGAAAAAAGGCAAGGGAGATGATGATGAGTGGACTGGGGAAAGTGAAGATGAGAAGGATCTGCCCACGGTATCTAAGAAACTTCAGGGATCTAAATACATTACAAGGTCCAAGGACAAGTCTACTGCAAAAAGGAATAAACCTTCTACACAGCAAAAAACTCGACCATCTGAAGAAGAATACGAGGAAGATGATGAAGAAGAAGATGAGGAGGATGAAACGCTGGGGGGTTTCATTGTAGACGATGTAGAAGAAGAGGCAGAAGTTGGTGACGAAGAAGAAGAGGAGGAATTTGATCCCGATGAAGATGATGAAGTATTAGAAGATTGATGTTCCTCCAAAAAAACCGCGTTAGAATGGCTTTTGCTTGCTAGTTTTATGTAGTCTGTCTTTGTGAATTGTGATTGCCTTTTTGGAGTGTCAGTCATTTGCCAATCCTGTATTCTACTTGTAGTTCTACATTTTCCTGTTACTGTATATGATAATGTTGGTCTTGACGTATAATTTTGTTAGTCCTAGTTCTTTGTACTGAACTAGCTGATTTTGCTAGCCACACTTTTTATAAGGTCTACGTACGCTCTAGTCTATCTGGATTTCACTTATGAAATTTCACTTGTTTTTTGTTGTACTCTTTTGTGTCTTTGTTGTGTCCTCTCTCAGAAACTTATGTATACGACTAAAAATTCAAATTATTGGTAGATGAACTGTCATGGAATATTGCTTCAGACCATTGTTGAATGGGATAAATTGAAATCACTCGGTTGATTAAGTGACTCATAATAGTGCAAGCTTTTCCTGACAAAATACGTATTGAAACATATTAACTTAATCACATACTAATGTTACTTCATTTAGTTATACACATCACTTAAATTGAAACATGATCAAATTTATTGAGGCTAATGTGCACAATCAACGTAGGCAACATATTTTAACTAATTATCATATTTGCGTATACAAGGAAATTTGCACATTTTTTCCTTTCAAATTCTGATCTTTTTCAATCTATATAAGGAAGTTGGGGGTTTGGCTTTCTTCGAACATCAAACAGTAAATAGTAAATTGTGTTGGCATGTCTGCTTTTGGATAAATCCTTTAGTTTCTTGAAATGCTTTTTCCATGTATCAGAAAATGTTTAATTTTTAACAGTAAACTATGTTTCACATCTACTTTTGAGATCAGTATATCTACTTAATCTGCACTCCTGTTTTCATGATATCTGACTATCTTTGCTCTAACCTCATTTAGTACTTTTTTTTTACTTTCCAGAATCATTTAGGGAGTGTTTCAGCAAGTTTGGACTGGTAGCTGATTCTGTACTAATGTGTGATAAACACTCTGGAAGGCGAGGAGTGTTTGGATTTGTTATATATGCTGACCTGGAAATTGCAGATACAGTTTTTGAAGGAAAACCATACCATAGATGGTAAAAAGGTAGAATTTTCTCCTGAAAGCACCATATGCTATCATTTTTTCCTTTAATTACTGTTACTTTTTGCCTTTGTTTATGTCAAAAGAGTAGATTCTATTTGTGTATAAGGTGTACGTGGAGAAAGCATTAACTAAAACAACGAGAATTTATGTTGGTGGTCTTCCATTATCTTTAACTCAAGGTAAAGAGTATACATGATATCATTTCTTATTTCTGCCAGTTGAAAAAGTTGCTGCTTTAACCTGGTGATTAATTTCAGATGACTTGAAGGAATGTTTTTCTTCTTATGGCAATGTTGTGGGGCATCAGATTGTTTTGGATACAAGAACTCGTCAGAGCCGACGTTTTGGCTATGTGAGTTTTGATAAAGAGGAAGCAGTTGAAAAAGTTTAATCTGACGGCCATAGGCATGAACTTCGTGGCAAACAAGTGAGTAATTAGGAATTTATGCAGCACAGAACTGATTGTTGCCTCTTTTAATCCGACGTTACAAAATAATTTGCCGTCTTTAGGTTGAAATTAAGAGGGCTGATCGTGCTCAACATACAAGTGAAAGCCAGATATATCATGGTGGGAGTGGTTCAAAATCATATTATAGCGATGGTGGTTCTGAAGAGTCTTTTGGTGGTGGATATGGTGGAAATATGGGTAGAGGTTATGGTGGGTACGGAGGATATGAAGGATATGGTGACTATGGCGGGTATGGCAGGTTTGCAGGAAGTTATGGTGTAAGTCCTACAGGATTTTACCCTGGATACGGTTATGGATTTTGGTTTAATGGAGCTATGTATGGCGCAGCTGGTTACGAAGGCAGCACCTATGGTATACCTTCCTACTATGGTGGTGGTAGTGGTTATTGGAACAGTGGTAACATTTCGAATGATGAGGGCAACAGAGGATATGGAGGTGGTGGCGGAAATGGTGCCTATGCATATGGGAACGCCAGTGCTGATAATGGAAGGTCTGTGCCTGCCTACTATGGTGGTGGTAGTGATGATGGGAGCAGAGGTAACGGCTCGAATGATGGGTGCAACGGAGGATATGGAGGTGGTGGCTAAAATGGTGCCGCCGGTGCTGATAATGCAAGGTCTCATCCTTCTTTGAAGTGACAAGATCACCTCCAAGGCTGCAAATATTTGATGACTTTTGACCACTAACTTGTAGTAAGATAGATGTATTAGCCTGTTAGCTTTGGGATGTAAAGATAGCATAGTCTCTGTTTTAACTTTTACAAGTTAATCAACCATCTTATATTGTAAGAAAAGTAGGTTGAGAACCTTGTGATTCAAGTATAGATGACAATTTTATATGAAAACTGAATGCCTGTGGCTTGTGGATGAGGTTTTACTAATTAGAAGCAAGAGAAGTTTAACTAAATTTCATTCTGCTTGAATCCAGATTGAAGATTTCTCAACCATATTGTCATTTGTTATCTATACATATCCGCCTAAATTGAAACATGCATGTAGGATTGTGTATCAGGCTTTTTGGTTCAAATTTAAGTTTATGTGTTCGACTTATTGACTATTGTACTTTATAGACATGTTAAATCATTGTATCGACTTATAGGATCACTTTATCGATTATCGATCAGTTATTAGTTAACCATTAACCCCCATAAAACACATTGAAGGATAAATCAATAGCTTTTTTGTGTTTGAATTATCGATTTTGATTCTATTTAAACCGCCTGGTTTTACAGCTTATTAACGCTACTGTGTACATTCCATAATGGATAATTCTATTGAAAGGAGTTATAATTTGAAATTTTAGGATAAAATAAAAATCCCAAAATGGAAGGTGGTCCGTTATATTCCCCGACTATATTATGTAGTCTCTTTTGAAACCGCCAAGTTGTTGTTATTTCTGTTGAAGTATTTAATTTACTGGTAAATCTCATTCGGCGGCAATTTTCAAATTTTAGCGCACAAAGCTAGGGTTTAACGCAATCACAGAAAACTCAGTATTTGATTCTCGTGCTGAAATCTAACAAGGTTCTGTTGCGATTCATTATCTTTTTCAGCTGGAAAGGATAAAGAACAATGGATTTTGACGAGGAACGAAATGAAGATGTGGAAATGGCTGATAGGGAAGCCGATGAATTAAAACCTTCAACCAATGATTCTTCAGTAAGGTAAGTTTTGTAGCTTAGTTTATAGCAAGTCACAGGTTCTTAATTTTCTTGTTTGTCGTTTAAATTGTTGCATTTTCTTGATGATAGAAAGCTTTTTGTTGGAAGCATTTCTAAGAAGACAACCGAAGGTATTGATGCTATCTTGCTATATAGGTATCATTGTGATATTACGTCCCAAATTGGACCCTCTGCTGAAATATTTGAGTTCTTTAATACTCTTAAATCTTTATTTGCCTCAGACTTTGACATGAATATCGATGTTTTGGTAGTTAAATTTATCTAAAATTGGTAATATTAACATTAGGCTTCTATTGCATCTTAGTGTGATTGGGGTGTGGGAAGTTGGGTTTTGGCTTTCTTCGAACATCAAACAGTAAAGAGAGCCATTTGCAGTATGATAATAAGATTCATGTAATTGTTGATATTTGCTTGAGTAATTGAGTTTGGTATTCTCTGCTTTTGGATAAATCCTTTACTAAATAGTTTCACATCTACTTTTTGAGATCAGTGCATCTACTTTATCTGCATAATATCTGACTATCTCATTTAGTACTTCACTTTCCAGAATCATTTAGGGAGTATTTCAGCAAGTTTGGACAAGTAGCTGGTTCTAAACTACTGTGTGATAAAGACTCTGGAATGCGACAAGGAATTGGATTTGTGTCATATGCTGACCCGAAAATTGCAGATAAAGCTTTAGAGGAAGACCATACTATAGATGGTAAAAAGGTAGAATTTTCTCTTGAAAGCACCACATACTGTCATTTTTTCCTTAACTATTTTTCTCCGCCTTGGTTTGTGTCTAAAGAGGATATTCTATTTGTGTATAAGGTGGTCGTGAAGAAAGCATTAGATAAAACAACGAGAATTTATGTTGGTGATTTTCCATTATCTTTAACTCAAGGTAAAGAGTATACATGATATCATTTCTTATTTCTGCCAGTTGAAAAAGTTGCTGCTTTAACCTAGTGATTAATTTCAGATGAGTTGAAGGAATATTTTTCTTATTATGGCTCTGTTGTGGATCATTGCATCGTTATGGATAAAACAACTGGTCAGAGCAGAGGTTTTGGCTTTGTAAGTTTTGATAAAGAGGAAACAGTTGAAGAAGTTTTATCTAATGGCCATATCCATGAACTTTGTGGCAAACAAGTGAGTAATTAGATATTTGTCCAGCACAGAACTGATTGTTGCCTCTTTTAATTGGACTTCACAAAAAAAAATTGCTGTCTTTAGGTTGCAATTAGGAAGTCTAAGCCAAAGAGAGATTGTATTGGACATACAAGTGAAAGCCAGATACATCATGGTAGGAGTGGTTCAAAATCATATTATAGCGATGATGGTTACAGAGGCAGCAGCCATGGTGTTCCTGCCTCCTATGGTCGTGGTCGTGGTTATGGGAACAGTGGTAACATCTGGAGTTATGGGGGCAACAGAGTATACAGAGGTGGTGGCAGAAATGGTGTCTATGCATATGGAAACACCGGTGCTGCTAATGAAAGGTATGTGACTGCCTACTATGGTCGTAGTAGAGGTTATGGGTACAGTGGTAGAAGCTGGAATGATGGGGGCAACATAGGATATGGAGGTGGTGGCAGTAATGGCGCCTGTGTATATGGGAACACTGGTGCTGCTACTGGAAGGTCTGTGCCTGCCTACTATGGTCGTGGTCGTGGTTATGGGAACAGTGGTAATATCTGGAAATATGAGGGCAATGGAGGATATAGAGGTGGTGGCACAAATGATGCCTATGCATATGACAACATCGGTGCTGCTAATAGAAGGTATCATCCTTATTGAAAGTGACAAAATCGCCTCCAAGGCTGCAAATATTAAATGAGTTTTGACTGTTGCATTTAGGCGTAAAATCTTTGCTGGTGCCCCCTACCACTAACTTCTTGTAAGATGAGTGTATTGGGATATAAAGATAGCACACAGTTCTTTGTTTTAAGTTTTACAAGTCGATCAACCATCTTATCTTGTAAGAAAACCTTGTGATTCTGATCTCACATTTAAATGAAATTAAATGTAGATGACAACTTTGTGTGAAAACTGAATGCTTGTGGGCTGTGGATGAGTTTTTACTAATAGGAACTAATAAAAGTTTAACTAAATTTCGTTCTGCTCAAAGCCAGATTGAAGATTTCTCAAACATATTGTCATTTCCTTATCTGCAACAAGAAGTTTTATCTTTATGAATTTTAATTGCTAATTGTATCATTTTACATATTTACTATCCTTTCGAATATAAAATAAGCTTCGCCATGCAAATGTGAAAAACTCAAGTGTTATTTTTTTGGTTCGCTGACATATTTTTTTTGAATTGTGTATTTGTTTCACATTTAAACTATCTCTTTTTCTTGAGTTTTATATCTAAATTGTTGAGACAGTGAGAAATACACCACGTACTCATTATATATGAGTTGCATATCAAATTTATTTTGGATAACCATATCTTAATTCCAAAATGAAAAAGAAAAACTTAAAATTATAAACTAACATAAAAAAATAATAATAATAAAAGGAATATATTGGTCATATATATTTTTTACTTCTAAATTTAACACTCAAACTATGTTGTAAGAAAGCTTCTTCTCTTTTTAATTTCCGAATGAAGCTATTTGTTATTTTTCATAGTTAGCTTGTTAACAACATGTATCTATAACATTATTTAGGAAGAAGAAAAGAGAACAATAGATGATAGAAAAGAAATCTAGGGAGCAATATATTGATATTTATAGTGATATTTGACTGTCTTTTCAACTATTCAAATTTATATAATGGAGCATAATAAATTATGATGCATAAATTTTAGAGTATTCTAGTTTCAAAATTCAAAGAGTCGCCGAATTGGAAGATTTCATACATTATTTTATTTTCTGATTTAGTAAAATTTAACCTAATCAATTATAATTATAATGTCATAACTAAAAAGTTAATTGTAGTTGTTGGATGTCATATTCCTCCATCATGTAATTAAAATATTAGTATTTAACTAATAAATTAATTTTATTTTGATTTAGTAAAAGGATAAAATGATAATTCAATACTTTGAAGGTTTGAGCTTTCCAATTTAATATATATAGAGTGTGTCTCTTGTTGGATAGTTCGAAATTGATATTTAGTTACATTTAGAAACTTTACCCTGTCAATCTGCTAAGATTCGATAATTGGTTAATAAAAAAATCAATTTATCAAAATTGTCAAACCAATAACTCATTATTTATAATTAACTAAGATTCCATAATTGGTTAATAAAAAAAATCAATTTATCAAAATTATCAAACCAATAACTCATTATTTATAATTAACTTATTTGTGTAACGAATACTAGAAGTTTTTTTAAAATTTAAACTATTTTCTCTATTATGTCTTGCTTTTCTTTTTAGCAATTAGTTAAAAAACGAATGATATATTTTTAGATTTAAGTAACAATTTAAATTTAAATATTCATTTATCTTTATTGAAATGAATTATAATCAAATAAATATCTCAACTTATTTTAGACCCCTTCGGCGGTACCAAATAAATGACTACTTGAATCGGGGTTTTGAGCATAAAGATTCCATTGACCTGTAAAAAGTGGACCTAACCCTTGGGGATGCGGTAATACATCTAAGAAATTATTCCACCGAACTTCAAATTTTAAAAATCTTTTTTTTTTTAAACTCTGAATTAAATAGAGTTATAATTTGAATGTTAAAAAATAAAAATCCCAATATGGAAGGTAGTGCGTTATATTACCGCCAAGAAGTTGTTATTTCTGTTGAAGTATTTGATTTACTGGTAAATCTCATTCGGCGGCAATTTTCAAATTTTAGCACACAAAGCTAGGGTTTAACGCAATCACAAATAACTCAGTATTTGATTCTCGTGCTGAAATCCGTCTAGGTTTTGTTGCGATTCATTATCTCTTTCGATCAGTTGGAAAGGATATGGCTGATAGGGAAGCCCCTGGTTCTTCAGCAAGGTAAGTTCATAGCTTGTTGCAAATCACATGTTCTTGAATATTTCCTTGTTTATCGTTTGAATTTTACCAAATCGGTTGTATTTTCTTGATGATAGATCACTTTTTATTGGAGGCATTTCTATGGATATAACCGAAGGTATTGATGCTATCTTGTGATATTACGTCCCAAATTGGATCCTCTGTTTTTTAAGTCTTCAATTTATGAATTTTTTAACTTTCCAGAATCATTGAGGGCTCATTTCAGTCAGTTTGGAGAGATAGCTGATTTAGTACTAAAGCGTGATAAAGGTTTTGGATTTGTTACATATGCTAACCCGGAAACTGTAGATGAAGTTTTAAACACATACCATAACATAGCTAGTAAAGAGGTAGAATTTTCTCCTGAAAGCACCACATTCTCTCATTTTTCCTATTACTCTTTGCCTTGTGTTAATGTTTAAAGAGTATATTTGTGTATAAGGTGGATGTGAAGATACCGGTAACTTATAGACAGAGAATTCATGTTGGTGAACTTCCGTTGTCTTTAACCGAAGGTAAAGAGTATACATGATATCACTTCTTATTTCTGCCAGTTTGCTAGCTCTTTAATTTAACCTAGTGATTAGTTTCAGGTGAGTTGAAGGAATATTTTTCGTCTTATGGCAATGTTGTGGGAAATCAGATCGTTTTGGATAAAACAACTGGCCGCTCCAGAGGCTTTGCCTTTGTGAGTTTTGATACAGAAGAAGCAGTTGAAAAAGTTTTATCTAATAGAGATAGGCACGAACTTCGTGGCAAACAAGTGAGTAAATTAGGAATTTATAGAATACAGAACTGATGGTTGCCTCTTTTACTTTGGTGTAACAAAAAAAAAAGTTGTCGTATGTAGGTTAAAACTACGAGGGTTTTTCCAGTTAGAGCTGGTGATCGTGATCGTAGTTATGGGTGCAACAGAGGGAATGCTGGTATTGAAAGTGACAAGTTCGCCTCCAAGGCTGCAAATGAGTTTTGAGTGTTGCATTTTAGGTGTAAAATCTTTGATGGTGCATACATTTCTTTGTTTTAACTTTTTACATGTCAATCAACCATCTTATCTAGGTTGAGAACCTTGTGGTTCTCATCTCACATTTAAATGAAATGATATGTAGATGACAACTTTGTATGAAAACTGAATGCCTGTGGGCTGTGGATGAGTTTTTACTAATAGGAACTAATTGCAAGTTTAACTAAATTTTAATTCTGCTCAAAGCCAGATTGAAGATTTCTCAAACATATTGTCATTTTCTTATTTTTCTTTATGAATTTTAATTGCTAATTGTATCATTTTGCATATTCACTATCCTTTGGAATATGAAATAAGCATCGTCATGACAAAATGTGAAAAACACATCTCGATGCTAACTAAACTTTCAATTGAACTTATGAAGAACGAAGCTATGTGTTTCAATTTATATTTTCAATTGAAATTGTTATGTATTGTCATTTTCTTTTAGGACATGACAATTTTTTATCTTAAAAAGAGAAAATATAATGCACACCATCACATATTATTTATAAATTTAAATGTATTTTTTATACTCCATATAATTTAGGTATAAAATTCAAAAAAAATACAAATAACTTAAATATATGTTTGATACGAAAAAAGACCAAAAAAAAAAAATTGTACGTGTTGAGACTAAATTTGTAGTGTAATAAATAGCCTCAGAACGGCGTTGGAAGCGGTCTAATCCATTTTTAAGCGCTTTATTTACTCCCCTCGTTTTCCTCTCCTTCACTTCACTTCACGTCACGTCCCTTTCTGAAAAATCACTCAACGTTTTCTGAATGAGGCCTAACTTCTTGCCTCCTGGGCTTGTTTCCAATCTCCAAGATGTGCTTTCTAGCAGAAAGGGTGCTCCCCAAAACAATGATTCCACGGAACCCAACTCGGATCCTGTAGAGGTTGACGATACAAAGCCTGTTGTTTTGGTTACTAACGCTGATGGGATTGAATCCCCTGGCCTAACGTATCTTGTTGATGCTCTTGTTCGTCTCGGCCTCTACAATGTTAACATTTGCGCTCCTCAATCGTGAGTTTCTCTTTTAAATTTCTATTTTCCCTCGCAGTTTCTTGATTAACATGATCTGGGATATTGTACTCTTGTGATTGGGCTGTATTTTGTAGATGTTGAAATTCTGCAATGCGGGATCTCTTGGTTTTTGTGGTCGATTTGGGTGTATTGTTAATTCGTTGCAGTTTATATGGAATGTATATCAGAGATTTCTAATGAAACAGTGGAATAAGACAATGTTGGTTTCTATCTGAATTAGTTATGCTGCAATTAGTGTATTATTTTCTAATGTTTTCCCCATGCATTAGTAAAACTAATATTAGACTGGTTAAAATGATTTAATCATAATCCAGACTAACTGCTTAATAACCTATGGTTAATGTGTTTTCTTCCAAATGCTACTGTAGAGATGAATCAACGGCAGGCCATTCTTTTACTCTGAAAGAATCCATTGCGGTTACTTCGGCTGAGATTCATGGTGCTACTGCTTATGAAGTTTCAGGTATGGTTTTTAGTGTATATGTTCTACTCGGTCTTTTGTTGGAAAGCTTGTAATTGATATTTATTCGAGCTTTGTAGGACTACTCTTACGTTTAGAAACTAATACTGTATTTCAGCTCTAACATGTTACGCCTTTAAATTTGTTCTTGTGTCAGGGACTCCCTTAGATTGTGTGTCATTAGCCTTGTCTGGTGCACTATTTTCCTGGTCAAAGCCTATGCTGGTATTTTTTGACATGCTTTCAGTTATACCATTTTCCTATTTCATTTTTGGCTTTGGTATTGCTTATGTTGCTCAGTATCCTCTGTTATTTATTTCTGCTTGGACCTTTAGGTGATAAGTGGAATCAACAAGGGCTCAAGTTGTGGCCGTCATATGTAAGTAGTGTTTTCTTTTTATGACCTTTCTTTTAGTGAACTGTAATTTAGCACAAATTTATAGTTTGAAATTGTTTTATTAGTGACTATTGCTCATATTGAAGTTATGAATTGGCACTTTCTTCCTCTTTTAGTTGTTATTTCTATATCAGCATAGAATTTTGTGATTATTTGTACTACTTCACTGTTTCCAGGTTTTACTCAGGTGTTGTTGCTGGTGCAAGGGAGTCACTGTTTAGTGGTGTGCCATCTATATCGATATCACTTGACTGGTATTTGCCTATCATTTAGGGTATACTGCTGAAAACTTTGATCACTCTTGATGGTCTTAACAATGTACCTGTAATCTTTTCTTTTTAGGAAGAAGGATGAAAGTCAGGAAAGTGATTTCAAGGATGCCGTAGGTGTTTGTTTACCATTGATAAATGCAGCCCTTAGAGATATAGAGAAGGGAGTTTTTCCCAAATGTTGCTTGCTGCATGTGGAAATTCCAAAGTCTCCTCTGACAAACAAGGTCTGTTTTATTGTCACCCTTGTGGTGCTTCTTCCCATTGAGAAAAAATACAAGTATTTGGACTTGTGATTCCTTGGTCAGACCAGTTCATCAAAAAGAGTTTCCATTCGAAACTGCTATTTTTCAATCATTCTGAAGAATGTACATGTGACTCTATTGTGTTGGCATGCAAAAGCAAAGTCTCAGTCTTCTTTCCTTTTACTCCCCAAGTCCAACCACTATACTATTTTGCTTTAGCATATTATATCTCTCCATGTATGTGGATGTAGACTGATTATTTTTGCCTTTTATGTGACAGGGATTTAAATCGACCAGGCAAAGTCATTGGAGCCTTAAGCTTTGCTGGCAAGCTATTTCAGCAAGCAGGAATCCTGCTGCCGGACGTTTTGTTCCCAATCAGCAAATGCTTGGACTGCAGCTTGCTCAACTAGGCCGAGATGCTTCTGCAGCGGTGAGTTAACTCGTCCTTCACTGGTATGTGGTGACCTAGATAATTATGATGATGATAGCAAGTGTGTAGTATTGCCTCTTAGTGAGTGACAACCTAATTGCTCTTAAAGTTAAACAAGATTGAGAAGAGCTGTCTGCCTATATCTAAAAGGAATTTATATGGAGTTGAAATTCTGTTGAATCTTAAAAAAGTAGAGTAGTCAGAGCTTAAGGAAGGTAGTGACTTAAAAGCTGATTCATTTCCCAGTTTCCAGTAAGATGAGTAGTATTTGAGTGGCTTCTTTGATTCGGTTATAGTACACAATAAGACAAAAGTGCACATAAATGGGTCAAAATACAGTTATTTGTAACAAGCTTTTGGAACACTTTGCAGCCCCTGCTTGTTTTAGTTTTCTCAATCAAAGTTGCATTGTAGATACTCTTAACCATTCAGACTTCTGAATTCTCATTTTTTCTCAGGGTGCCGCTCGTCGGTTAGCCACACAGAAAAATAATATAGAAGAGGTTGAATCAGTTGGTGTATCAGGGAAATCTGATTCCAACCGGAAAGTCAAGTACTTCAGATTGGAGGTAAGGAACTTTTTTCCATCTCTATGAAAATATCGTATCCAGTTGCTGTCTTGGATAACTAATTGAGGAATCTTCAGGTTTATTTTCTAATTGAAAATGCCATTTTCAACTTAATTAATCTATGTCAATGGAAAAGAGGGTATCAGAAGAACATGTTAAATCGTTACATCAATCTATAATTTTCCTCTCTTCGAATAGCTTGTGTGGGAGCGCAAAAAAGCCAAGTGTCACACGTTTCCTTGTACTAATCTTTCTCATTGATGTAATTCCATTTCTTTGTACTTAGTACCAGTTGGTTCTAATATTTAAGTGAATGACTTTATTTGTTATTCGCACTGCAGTTACTTGACAAGAAGCAGGAAGAAGAGGATGAGGATTTAGATTTTAGAGCTCTTGAAAATGGCTTTGTAAGTTTATTTAATGTAATTGTTGTTCTTTACCCATGCGGTGCTGGGAGGGTGTTCTGGATTCCCTTAGCTGTTTCACTGCCCTTATGCTCATATACAACGTTAACTAATGCCACACTAGTGATAAGCTGTATTTATATGGTTTTGACCAATTGATTTATTGTGCTTAACAGATAGCAGTCACTCCAGTCTCTCTATCGATGCATGTAGAAGCAGACGTTCATGCAGCTGCTACAGAGTGGATTTCAACTGCATTAGAAGTCGAACAATGAAATTCATCCAGTCACACACCTGATCAGTAACCTTTTGCACATTTCGAGATGAATTTGTTTCGATCATCTATGCAAAATCTATATTGGTGATGCCTTGATTGTTGATTCTTTTTGTCTATTACCTCATCCTTTTGTATTTTGTAGTGAAGCTAAAGAAGTGCCAGTTTTTTTTTTCTTTTGCTTGGTACCACAGGGCTGTGTTGTTGTAGGTTCCTTGCTTGACAAAGTTGTGGTTAGGCAGAATATTTAGGTTATTCTTTTCTACCTTGTAAACAGAAACAGACAGATGAAATATAGTGTAATGTTGTTTGTTACCTGATATGCTAAAAGTTGAGTGCTTGTTTACTAATACCAGATTCTTTGTGCTCAAATACTCCAAACCCCACTAGTTTAGCCGTTTTAAAATCAAACTTTGGATGTGTGAGTCTAAAATTCACACATATATATGGAGTTTGGCTTGTCAAAATTTGACTTCAAACATACTCAAAGTTAGTAAATTCAATTATTTTTACATGAAGTTATTCGGGTTATATACAACTAAGCTCGCTTGATGTTAAGCTTCTCATGTATGTATTATATAATATCTTGTGGCCAACAAAGTAATTCAAGATACATACTTTCAGTTATGACCGTCTGAATTGACTTTTTTTTAAGTTAAAAATTATAAGTTGGTAACCCCTGACTTTTGGCTTCTTTTCTTTTTTGGGTAACTTTTCCTGCTTTAGATTATGGTTTATTCGAACACTTCCAAAAACTAAAAAAAATATTTAAAAATTTAAAATTATTAAAAATAAGTCAATTCAAACACCGACTAAATTTAATCCTAAAATAAATGAATCAGCCCACAATATTATATATCTTGTAAGCTGGTAATGGATCTCTTACCTTACATAATTAAACCTAAGGACAGTTATAATATTTTTTGTTGTTAACATAAGAGTCACAAGTTATGCATAATATTATGACAATTAACAGGTCGATTGAAAGTGATGATTTGTCAATTTTACCCTTTCGAATCAAAGCTATCAATCCAACTTAATTGGGTTAGAAAACCCACATTTAGAAGGCAAGGCCCACAAGAAGGATCGGCCCATTTAGTGCCTAAAGTTGTTTTCGAAGGAAAAATGGTGGAAACTGGAAGAACTTGGAGAAGTAGATACTGTGTTAGGGTTTAGCTTCCTTCTGTGTATCAACTGTGTGTGAAAATGTCGTCGTCGTCGAAAACTTTAATTCGGACGGGCGTTTCTCTGATTAGCCGTTTGATGACCCAAAACTTGAGATGTTCAGCACAAACGCCACAAATTGCGAATCCGACACTCACTTCCAGGCTTTTTCCATCTCTCTCCTCTCACTCTCAGTCTCCGATTCGTCTTGATTTACCCCAGTTCGACGACATTGATTCGTTCAAGAAGGTTTCCACTGAAGGTTTCTTATACCCTACAGGACTTCCTTCACTGCCCTTTTTCCTCCCTGACGGTAAATTCCCTCTCTATATTTGAGACTATACTATACATTTGCGTAATGATGGTATTTAGCTGGAACGTTGAGGTACATTGTACTTTTATTATTTCATTTTGTGATACGAAATGGGTTGTGAATATACCGGATGCATATAGCTGAGCTCAACTAGGTTGGAAATTGTTGCATAGTTGAATTATTGTTTTACATTCTTTTTTTTCTGAGAAGTTGAGCATTTAGAAGTTCCGTTGCACTGTAGGTTGCTAATTGATTGAATTTCAAATGCAATGACAGTTGTTCCAATTCTAGCCTATTGCTTCTTTTTAGGTTCACACTTAACTGAACAATTTGATCTAATTAGATCACTGGAAAAAGATTTCTTTTTTCTCTAGGAAAAGATGGTATGCCTGACCAATCCATTTAAGGCTGCAGTCTGTACCATGGGTTGGTAAACTGATAGAAGTCACCTCTGCGAGTTTCTTGAGCCACTGCCTGTTCAAGTTCATTGATAACTTACAGTCAGATTATGCTGAAAGTGGATGTGCTGGATTGAAATATAGCATGGTGAAACAGGTTAAGTTAAACCAAAGATGAGCTATAGTCCAACCTCTTGAAGTCTATGTGTCGATTAAAGGTTGGGTTTCAAATATATAAAATAATAAGTGGTGACAACTTGCCCACCTCAACCCATTGTGGGGTTGCACAAATTGCTATCATAAAACTACAATTTACTAATTATTTGTCTTGATAAACTTTTGTTCGTTTTCAATGCTACAGAATTTTGCAACTAATTGTTAAACTTTAAACATTGTGATGTTGGTATCGTCCTCTGAATATTATGTCTATTTAAAGTGGTCTATTAAAAGGAACAGTGAGCTGTTAGCAACTCCTTCTTCAACCTAAATAGACAAAGAGTTTAGTTGTCTGTGAAAACTAGCTTAGTACTTTTTTGTACTAGGATGAAAAGGAGTTCTCATATCTTAAAAGATATATGAATTGAAAAAAGAAGTACCTAGAGGCTAGATGTAACCTGTTAGGTTGCCGATTTTTAGCTCATTGTAATACAATATTCTGACAGGCCATGAGTGTTAATTCATAGTTTAACAGTATCGGTGTCAAATGGGTGGGTTGGACTGGATTTGGGCGGGCCAAAATGAGTTGGGCTAAAAGATGGCTCAAAAGTTCTTGGGATGAAACTGGTTGTGCTAAAATAGGTTGGGTCATGACCCACACAACTTGGCACAATCTTCTTAACTGATTTATTTCTGCTAAAAGTGGAAATAGTTTTCATTCATTATGGTTACACCATTTATACATCCAAAGACAGTAAATCTTCGATTCGGAAAAGTTACTGCACATTCCAAAAACAAACTCAGTACTTGAATTTATATTCAATGGTCATTGCAGTTCTCGTTGTTCCCTGCATTCTAACTGGAATTTGGAGAATGTTCTCTGAAGAAGTTAGGAAACAAGAATTATCTTGATTTGTTACCTTCTCAAAATAAGAAGAATTATCTTGAATTTAGACAATCTTATATAGAGTTGATAGTTGTATGGAGGCTCTTTTTTGTCTACTTGGTTGCTTTCTGATGAGTCAAATTTACGTAGATGTTAGACAATTATATTCAGAGTTGATAGCAACCAAATGAACAAAAAAGAGCCTCCATACAACTATCAACTCTATCTTCTTTCGAGGTGATACCTGTATGAAGGAACTTTTTTTGGCTATCTGGTTGCTATACGCTTCTATAACTAGTTATTGTTGTTTAATTAAGTTTCCTAATGACTAAAAAGCTTGGGAAATAAGAAATTAAACTTGTTATATAACTCTTAGTTATTTGCACCTTCGTTGGACCGGTAATTATTGCTGTAAAAAATTATTAACAATTGACATTATTATTTGTTAGTGTCAAAAATTGACATTATTATTAGTCATTTCATCTGTATCCATTTCAACCATCAGAGACTTACATACAAAGAATCATGGAATTAACCTGGTTTTACATGAGTTATTGAGTCGTTCTTCTATGTCTGTTCATGCAGTTGATGATTCTTCATCGAGTGGGATGCTTTTGTTTCCTAAGAGAACCTACCAACCCAGCAACATGAGGCGCAAAAGGACACATGGTTACTTTGCTCGGTATGCATCTCTTCCTTGCTCTTTTAGCCACTGGACTAATGAGACACATTCTCATGAGAATAGCATTATGCACCATATGGCACCTATTTTAGCTTTTTGGGTCTTTTAGTTGTTGAAAGAATATGTACTAGACCACTTTTGTTTCTCTTCCTGTTTCTGGTAACTGTAGAATTACGACATATAATACATTCTCCAGAACTCAAGTATATCCCATGTAATGCTAGGCTTAATACGTAGCCCAGGATTCTGGTGGGCTCTCATCCTGACAATGAAAATTAGCTTTCATGTGCCTCCCAGTTTACCTGATCAGCATAGTCATTTGTTTGTCCAGCTAGTTCCATTTTCTCGGGTCACTTGCTTTTACTGGAGATTTTTTGTCTGGATTGCTTGTGTTATTTGTTGAGATCTGACAAGCGCATATTTTAATTATTGAGCAGCAAAGCAACTAAGGGTGGGCGTAGAGTTATTGCTCGACGTATTGCAAAGGGTCGATCAAGAATAACAGCATAACAACATTTTTTGTTGCATGGTTTACAAGGTGTACGGAGCAAGGCTAGAAGGCTGGTTTAGGGCATTTCTCGGCCAGTTAAATAGGTTATGTTGCAACGATTGAAAACAATGGGATCAGGAGGTGATGTTTTGATGATCCTCAAACTGGATTTTTGTACTTAGGCTCTTACTTCCCAGCTTTGTCCCCAAACTCTTCTTAATATTTTTCCAAGCTGGTTTTATTTCCCTTAAAGATATGTTTTGATCTGTAATAAGGAATTCATCTTTACTGTACCTAAGGGTCCTTGAGATTGACGTATGAGCAAAATCTATATTTTGAAGTTGTGATCTTGGCAAGGTCAAATTTCTGACATTTTTTTTTATTGATGTTGAGACCTTGGCAAAGATCAAACATTGGACATTCTTTACCTAAATTTGGACATTGACAAGATAAAACTTCAAGGTCAATTTAAGACATTTTTTATTGAAGTTGAGGCCATGACAAGATCCACTTCTTATACTTTAATTGTTATAAATTCAACTAATATTGTTGTACAACAGTTAAGAAGAAAAAGGAGGAGAATAAAATTTCTTTGAATTTTACTTATATTGAAAATGGCTATAAATTAAATAGGTATGTCCAATTAGGGCGCCTAGTGAATATAAATTTAGGGGGGTGAGGGAACAACTATCTAGTTTAGGGGGTCATCATAATGATTTCTATTTTGCAACTTTACCTGTGTTTGGGAATGATTTCAAATGTATGCGACTAAAGTTGAAAGTTGCGTTCGATTTCAGTTATCTAAAATCTGATTTTATTAAGTCCAAAACATCGGACATTATTGCTGAAGTTTGATATGACTTGTCAAGATTAACTTTAGGCTATTTTTGAATGAAGTTGTGTACTTGATAAAGTCAAACCTTAGACTTATTTTTATATATAGCTAAGGCAAAATTCAATTTTTTTTCACTAATGTCATCGCCAAGACAAGGCCAAACTCGAGTCATTTTTATTGACATAGTAGCAACCAATATCACTCATGAAAAAAAACCATACTCTTACATGCAAAAATTGGCTAGAACTTCAATCATTCTCTCTATTGGGCCCTTTGTAAATCCAATTCGAAAAAGCGAGCCTTGGCCCCAGGCCCATGTTTTTCTTCTTTTGTATTTCACTGTAGTATATTCGCATCTCCTTTATAATAAATAAATAAATTAAAATTCACATCTCCGAGACCTGACATTCATCGGCTTCTCTCCTCTCCTCTCCTGCAAAAACCAGTATCTGCAGCCTGTTCATAACCTGCCATGGCAGAATTCAGAGGCAATGAAACCCCTTCATCTACTGCAGGTAACGTTTCCTATTCTCTTAGCTGTTGCAATTGATAAGGGTTTCTTAAGGGAATATGAAATATTGCAAATTAAAATGCTGAGTGATTTTAATTACAAGGAAAAACAAATTGTATATTTTGCCTAATTCCTCATGTATTCATGAATAACTGAACAAAATTTGATTTTGGCTCTATTAAGAATGTTTCAATTGGAGCATGTATGCGGATGATTGTGATTGTTTTAAAAATTCAATCTTTGTGTTAATTGATACTGACTTTCGTATTTGCGTTGGATATACCGCATCCTTATTGATGTGGTTGTTTGGTTTCTTTATATGGTATTGGGTAATCCTTGGCCTTGAAACTTTTGATTTTTTGAGATTGAGTTAAACTCAAAAGGTTTATTTCTTTATTAGCTAAGTTTCATCCCAATCTTAAATTTGTTGGGACCGTTGTTATATTGTCTATGTTCCAGTTGTGGGGCTTGGGTTTGTGGGGTTGTTGGATATCCCACATTGGTTTGGATGTGGTCCATTGGTCTCTTTATATGGTGGCAATCATTGCCTTGATGCTTGTTTTGGGGATTGAATTAGACACAAACATTATCTCTTTATCAGGGTAAGACTCATTCCGATTCTTGATTTGATCAATGTTGGGCCTCGGTATTATATTCTCCACATTTTAGTTGCCAGACTGGCATATGAGGGTGTTGGATATCCCAGATTTGGGGGATGGGATGGGATGCTTTGGTTTAGTTATAAGGTCTTAGAAATCCTCTAGATTTTGGAAGTTGAGTTAGTTCAAGTTTCATTTGTCGTTCTTTATCTTGATATATGTTGCTTGGACTCTTCAAAATTGTCATAAGTTCATGTTGGATTCTCCGTAAGTACTGTATGTTTTAAGAATCCGACACGGGTGCGGCATTGAAACTAAAAAATCTGCACAACTTAGATCATGGTAATGGTCTGACCTTTTCTTCTCAGTTTGTTCTTGTATTCTCTAGTCTGTTGGTAATTGATTTATTTCTGATGCTAATCTAGCCTTGTCTGTTGTTGTACAAACTTTAGGACGTTAGTTGGTTTATGTTCCTCGTTTCCATTTTGATCTCTTTGTAATGTTAGATGTGAAAGATGTAAAAGCACCAAATTTGATTGAACGTGCAAAGGAAGAGATTGAGGCTATGATTCACCACGATAAAAAACCTCACCATCACAAGGAAACTCATGGAGCTAGTGACATTGATGCAAACACCCCAGTTGATGAAGTAAAGGGACCAAATGTATTTGAACGAGTCAAGGAAGAAATTGAGGCAGTTGTACAAAGTATCCACCCTAAGAAATGATCCAACTCTTCTCATGCCATTATTTAACAATATTGGTCTGATGTACAATAGCTAATTGCTATGTATAAATAGTACTGATTTCTTGGTGTTTACAATGGAAGGTGTTGCTATTTGTGACAGCATTTGATGTCTAATGATCTTTTAGAACGATCCTTGCTGATTTCTTTTGTATAACCATGGTTTCCGGGCTACCTTGTGTGCACCTCGACTAATTCCATGTGGTACTATTGTTACCTCCCTTACTAGCAACTCATCACCTAATGTTTTTGCATCTGCAGGGATTTGAACCTGAAATGTCATTATTTCCAATCCATTTCATTGACTACTGAGCCACACCCTGAGTTGCCTTGCAGATCTTAGTTTCTATGAAATGATGACTGTGTCTTGACGTTGCCTCGAAGTCAACATTCCGGTACAGTTGAAACATTTCATTTAGTACTAGGAGGTAGTAACTAGTATGTATTCTAAGAATAGTCAAAGAATGTGCTAGTTGACTCGAACATCACCGTCATCTTAAAAGACAAAAAGTAATGGCAATATCTTCCCATGGTGAAACATATGAGTCTAGTGAAAAGATCTATTTCTATTCCCCACAGCAGGAGTAGCAGTGTTGAAGCTTAGGGTTGAGGATTAGATACCACAATTAGGAACACTCCCACTGTAGGAGATAAGATCAACATACGCCCTATCCTCTTTAGACGTCATTTATTGGATTACACTAGATATGTTATTGTTGTAATGGTGAAGTCTGGACAGGTCAGAAATCACTCATAGGGCGGTGTAAGAAGTTTTCGAATTTCCTTGCTGGGAATAAAGTTTGAAATAGTAAGGGAAAGAAAAGAATAAAGGAAAAAGTTTATGTGTAGGTAAAAGTATTCCCATCTGATTAAAAAGGGAAAAAAAAAGCTACAAGGTTAGTTCTAATGATGTGTGTATTAGGCACATTTCATCCGTTCAAACTCTATGATAAACGAAAAAGTTAGATATGTAATAAGAATATCGGATTCATTATTCATCGGGTCATGAGTTTGAATTCCATGATAAATGAAAATTTATATGAATTTAAACTTTAGAAAGAAAAAAAAAAGTTTGTTAGCTAACAAAATTATGGTTGAACAATACTTATCCCTGACAAGCTACATCATAGGAAGCCTACTCAAACAGTATTTAAGACACTTTTCTATCCACTATGCACCTAATTCTATTTTGTCCTACCATAAAATATGGTTAATATTTAGTATTGAAATCATATATTATAAAAACTAGCTACATTCATGTCATCTAAATTCTATGATTCCTAATATCCTGTATTTTTGGTACCCACGTCTAATCAATTAGGTTGCATTTTGGTAACCGACATAGAAATATTAAACAACCACCTAAAAAAAATAGATTAAAATAATTATATTTGCTAGTTAAATATATCAAAGAATTAAAAATATACATGATTTTGTAAAATAATTGTTATATATTTTCCCAATTGAATAATGCATTTTGTAAAATCACATGTAATTTTCCCAGATAACTCTTTTACACTAGTACTAAATTTTAGTACATGCATCCTCTTCTTTTTTTTTTAATAGTGGCAAGCAACTACTATTAGTACTAGCTATAAAAGAAGAATAAGGTATAGTCTATATATAAAAGTCGCAATAATAGGAATCTCAACACGTGGCATAAAGTCGCTCTGTGTTGAAAAAGGAAAAAATAATTACTTACTTCGTTTCAAAATAGTTATGAATGAAGTTATAAAAAAAAATCAAAATAAGTGTCAGCTTAGAAATTCAAGATAAAAATAATATTTTTTGAAATTTTATCCTTATACTCCATCTTCATATACAATGTTCAATTTTTTTTATCAGACATGATTTTTATTAAAATAATGAAACGAAAATAAATACTCTCGTCGTTTTAAAAAGATTGACCCTATTTCTTTTTTAGTATGTTTAAAAAAGAATGACCCCTTTTTCTTTTTCAGCAACACTTTAAATTTTATTTTTCACGTGCCGTGTTTAAGACCACAAGATTAAAAGGATATTTTGATACATTTGACATAATTTTAATTTAGAATCACAAGATTAAAAAATTTTCTTTCTTTTTTTAAACTCCGTTCCAAATCAAATTAGATCATCCTTTTTTAAACGAAGAGAGTATCTTACTAGGAAGTTTCTCACAACATTCCTTCTTCTGTAAGTATTGAATTATTTTGCAAATTTCTTCTATTCATATTCAAACCAGAAATAGTCGATATATACGCAAGTGTATAAAAATAGATATGGTATGGGAAAAAATGGAAGTGACAACATATATACTCTATAATATTGTTGTGAAATTATAGCATTACGTGTGATGAACATTCATGGTCAACAACAATTAATTTAATTCTTTCCTCCCTAAACAAGAAATCAAGAAATAGAAAAAGATAGAAAATTAAATACAATTTTTATCCTATAAAGGTAGACTGGACTTTGGATTTATCACAATTAATAATTTAATTTTGCTTATATATTATTCTCTTTTGTTTCAACTCTCAATCAATGTTATTTTAAATAAATACAGCGTGAAAAGAAAGTGATATTTTCAAACTTTTCATTAGTGTTTTCAATTATAAAAATATTAGGATTTAGCGTACATTATGATCAAACTATATTATAATAATTGAAACACAAGAAATGTAATGTATGTATTAAGTTATAGTTATTTTGCATTTTTTTATTGTCAGATTTGCCCTTGAAGTTACTTCTATTAATTTTTAATTTAATTACGTTGGTCGTCATATTTTAATTATGTAGATTTATATGACATGTAAATGTGTGGTATCAATTGTTAGAAAGAAACACAAAAAGAAAAAGAAAAACGAGTACGAAGGAAGGTGAGGGGAAAAAGAGGTATAAATCTTTTTAGAGAAATATTTGACTAATTTAGAAAGATACCTAACAAAAGAAATCAAGAGGAAGTAAAACAAAAATGTCTATATTTTTAATGTGTCTGTAGCATTAATTTTATTTCATGTGATATATTTAATTTTTATCTGTTAATTTAAACGATTTTCACATAAATTGAGTGTACATAGTATATATTATGAATGGCCTGAATTGATCCACTTGTGGCAACTTCAGTAATGGTGAGTTCCGTGCATTTGTATGGCCTGTTATTAAATGCTGCTAATTCTTGACTTTAATAAACCCTAGTACCATTAATATTAAGGTCAATTTATATTTAAATTTATGTTGTATAAGATCTTATTCGAAGGGGCTATATTTTTAAATTGTTTTTTAACTCTTTATTTATTTATTCAACGTATAACTTACAGAAATTCAATATATTCGGAAGCTAATTATGTTCTATTCAGAAAGTTTTTTCAATTACAAAAGTTTTGAATATTTCATTATTTTCGAATACATTTCTTGGTTGTTTGATTATATTGCAAATGATACATTATTTAATGAGGAGAATGTATTCGAAAGGGGATAAGGATGGATCTGAAAGGAAATTAAGATATATTCGAGAGAGGATTTTTATAATTTTCTAAAATTGTATGAAATTTCAGAGAATATGACATTTTAATTAAATTTTGTATTTATGTTACTTTTCCTGATTCAAAACCCTACTACTCCTAGTACTACTATAGTTTACACTATTTCACCAGAATATCAAAATGCAAGATTTCTAGAAACTCATTTTCTAAAATCCTTTTATATTTTTATTCGAAATATGATTTTTTTTTAGTCTGTTTCAAAAAGAATGGTCACTTTTTTTTTGTGACAATTTTTCAGGTGACTTGTTTAAGGTCACAAGGTTAAATGACAATTATGTACATTTAACATAACTTTAATTTAAGATCACATGAATAAATTTTTTTTTTTTTGTTAAATTTCGTATCAAATTAAATTAGATCATTTTTTATGAAATGAAGGGACTAATAAAACGCAAAAAATAATTGACCAAGCTACTACATTTTGATGTTAAACGTATGGGCCCAAGCACACATGAGTTGAGTGTATTTTTTTTTTCTAATTAATCAATAAGATAAGAGTCAAGTCTTTGTAAACTTTATATTGGAAATGACAATTAAACAACTTGTAATACCACTCTTACCCTAAACTTGTTAATCACGTTTAGATTTTTTTTTTTGACAAATTTAGAAAAGGATAACACATAAACAAAAATTCAATGATAAAATTAGTGTGGACCCTTATATGGAATTAGAAATTGACTCATGAAAAAAAAAAGCACATAAATTCTTTTAGTACCATCAAAGGTTGTTGGGAGAGTCGGATTTAATTTTTTTCTTACCCTTTGTTTGAATGGTTGTTACATATTATATTATATCGTGTTAAATTATATTATTTCAATAAATATAATATTTGAATAAACGATACCGTTTTTGTTGTTATATGATGACTTATGTCAGAACTTTGAATGAAAAAAACTATTTTTAAAAAAATGTATGCTACATGGTAGAACTTCGATGAAAAGACAAGGATAAAGGATAAAAAAAAAGATTGTTAAATAATACATAAAGATAAAATGAGAAGAAATTATTAAATTAACAGCGCAACCACATCAAATCAGTAGTTTACATACAATGAGACATTTGTTGTTATATAACCAAGGATTTAAATTATAATGCAAATAATTAAAGCAAACATTGTATTTACACTAACAACACAATAGAGCATATAACAACCATTCAAACTAGATGTAACTTAAGAATCTCTTTATATAATTATAAGATTTGAGTCAAAGTTATTGAGTATTGAGTATTGTCGAACGTAATTTATATGATGGCTGGTGCCTCACCTGGTTATGTATTAGTGGGGTAATAAGTGCGTACCATTTACCCCCTCGCTCCCTCCATCTTTCAAAATTCTCGAATTTAAAATCTGAAAATGAATTTAATAAAAATTATATTGTTTATGTATTTACAGTAGACATTGAAATAATCTTTTTTTATAATTATATAATAAAATTTTCTAGCGTGAATCTAAATCAGTTACATCGAAAGAGAAGAAAAATTGGTAATGAAAATGAGTTATGTCCTTTCAATCAATTCTTAATAAATAATAAATTTAAATGAAGAGTTCGATTAATTTGGTGTAGTGGGAGGCCTTAACGGTAGGTCCCAAACCTTAACTTCTGCAACGACCCAATTTAATATTTACTCAATAACGTACCACTACAAGAATTA